ACTCTGCCCTGTCAGCTTCACCCACCTGTCCTCCCTGCCTGTCCAAGCCTGGTCTCCTCAGCTTGGACTGACCACTGGGCCCCACTGGGGCCCCCCTCTGCTCCCTGGCCTGGATGTGCTCTGAGGCCATCAGCTAGGTGACTGTGGGTCACCTCACTTGTTCCCTCTCTTTCAGTAATTGCTGTCCTGAGATAGCTGATGCCCAACGTCTGAAACTGCAGTTTCACATATTTCCTTACTGTACTTTTAAAAGAAATATGCTAAGTTATCTTCCATGATTGTCAAAGATCAATTTCAGCTGTATTTAGACTTTTATAGCCCACATTTTCAGGTACCATTATAACAGAAGCTTTCCTGGGAACGGTGGGTGTGAGGTGAGAAACCTGGGAGCTTCTGGTTCTTGATTGTTTCAGGCAGGAAGGTAAATCTGGCTCCTGCAATTCCACCTTGGTTGATATATGGAATATCTTCGAGTTTATTTGCAACCTAGTCACTCTGTGAGATGATAATGTTCTGCATTTTAAAATATGAAGATTCAGCCAATCTGGAATGTGCCCATCTAAAGAGCAACGCTTGCCCTCCCCACCTCCCACCCCACCAACAGCACCACAGACCCTCCCTGAGAATCAGGCAGTGGGAGAAACCAGTGACGAGGCAACGAGGAAGGAAGAGGGCTGTGCAGTCAGCACCACGTCTGTGCCCAACAAAGACCCCTTTCTATTTTCAGAAAAAAGACCAAATATGAAATACACAGAAGTTAATTTTTTTTTGGTTAAAGTTTGTTTTATAATCTTTTAATTTTATCCAGACAGATTGATTCCATTTTACTTGACCTTTCATTCAATTACTCTCCCTGGAGAACAGCTGCTTTTCTAGCCAACTGAAAGGTCCATCTGTCTCTTTTATACCTTCCTAAATTCTTATCTTCTGAATCTTCCTGCCACTGGACCTATACTACTTTAAATAAAAAATTATTGTAACATAATTGATTGTACATATCTATGGGGTACAGAGTTGAATACCAACACCTGTGTGCAATATGTGATGCTCAAATCAGGAAAACCAGTCTATTCAGCAATATATAATGTCATCGTTTCTTGTGGCCCATTACCAATTCCTCCATCCCCCCCACCTCTGCTAATCTCAGTTCTCCTTTTGAAAATTCAGCACATTTTTGTGATTGTTGTATCTACCTTTTTTTTTTTTTTTTTTATTTATATGCTTATTCTTTAACTCTCACCTATGAGTGAGGACATGTGGTATTTCTCTTTCTATGCCTGGCTTATTTTACTTAATGTGATTTTCTCCAAGTTCAGCCATATTACTGCGAATGGCAGTATTTCATTCTTTTTTTGGCAGAGTAGCATTCCACTGTGTATATATGCCACATTTTCCTTATCCAGTCATCTGACAATAGATGTTTAGGTTGGTTCCAACTCTTGGCTATGTAAATAGAGCTGCGATAAACATGGGGTGCAGGTATCTCTTCAACACGATAATTTCCATTCCTCCGGATACATACGCGGCAGTGGAATTGCTGGGTCATATGGCAGTTCAATTTGTAGTTGTTTGAGGAATCTCCAAATCGTTTTCCATAATGGCTGCACCAATTTACAGTCCCACCAACAGTGTAGGAGGGTTCCCCTTTCTCTGAATCCTTGCCAGCATTTGTTATTCTCTGTCTTTTTTATAAAAGCCAGATTAACTGGGGTGAGATAATATTTCAGTGTGGTTTTGATTCATAGCAGATGATTTTAATGGATAGCCTTTTGCTGCTTCACTTACAGTATTTTCCACGATTGTATAAGTACTCTAAAACTATCATTTTTGCATTTTTGGAGAGGGGATATAAAATGGTAAGAGGGTTTCTAAATGTTACATGTAATTAAAATACTTATGTTTTTATACGTTTAAACATGCTCATAAAACCAAATTCCAATAGCACAGAATTTACAGGTTGTATGCTCCACCACGGCATGGATGATTTTTCTCACTACTAGAAACACAATGATAAATAAAACCACTTCTATTTTATTCGTGAAAATATATCAAAAGTTGTATTACTCCATTTTCTGTTGCTTATAACAGAATACCTGAGACTGGGTATCTTACAGTTTTTTTTTTTTCCTTTTTGGAAGCTGGCTAATACGGAGATCTGAACCCTTGACCTTGGTGTTATAACACTATTTCTTACAGTTTTGGAGGCTGGAAAGTCCAAGGTCAAGGGGCACATCTCGTCTTCCTGGTGGATGTTTTGTATGGAGTCCCCAGGCAATGCAGGGTGTAATGTGGTGAGAACAGCAAGAGCGTTTCCACATGCTCCCTTGCTCTCCTTACAAAGCCACCAGTCTACTCCCCTATAACCCATTAAAAGAATTAACCCATTACTCAATGTATGGATCAATAACACTGGGCATAGTCCTCACAATCCAAACACCTCTTAAAGGCCCCACCTTTTAAATATCATAGTCAGATTTCCCAACCTGTTAACACTGTTGCAATGTGGATCAAGTTTTAATAACATGAACTTTTGGGAGACACATTCAACCCATAGCATTTTGCCCCTGGCGCCCAAAATTCATGTCCTTCTCATATGTAAATACATTTTTTCCATCCCCATGACCCCAAAATCTTAACTTATCCCAGCACCAACTCAAAAGTCCAAAATCTCATCTGGGAAATCAAAACAAGTTATCTACTGCCAAGATATAATGGTGGGACAAGCACAGGGTATATATTCCCATCCAAAAAGGGAGAAATAGGCCAAAAGAAAGGGGTAACAGATTCTAAGCAAGTCTGAAACCAAACAGGGCAGGCATAATATCTTCAGGCTAGAGAATAACCTCCCTTGACTCCATGTCCAGCATCCTCTGCACACTGGTGCAGCAGTTGGACACCCTAGTCCTCAGGCAGCTGTGCTCCTATGGCTTTCCAGGGCTCAGCCCATGCTCTAGCTCTCCCAGACTGGTGTTGCATGTTGGTATCTACATTCTGGGGTCTCAGTAGTGGTCCTGATCCCATGGCTTCACTAGGCATGGCCCTGGTGGGGATTTTCTGCTGCATTTCTGACCCCACATTTCCGCTTGGCATTGCTCTAGTGGAGGCTCTCTGAGGTGACGCCATCCCTGTGACAAATCTCTTTCTGGGTCCCTAAGCTTTTCCATACATCCTTTGAAAGCTGGGTAGAGGCTGCCATTCCTCCATATCTCTGGCATGCTGTGAGCCTGGGCTTCTGGCTTGTGTCTTTTGAAGTGGCGGGTTCAGTCACACCTGAGGTTAATTTAGTGACAGCAGGGGAAGCCAAAGAGTGCTGTGCAGGAATGCAGGGAGCAACATCTTGAGGTGGCCCTGGGCAGCGAGGCCTGTTCCCAAAAACTGTTCTGTCTTCCTTGGCCTCTGGTCTGTGATGGGAGGGGCACCCTCAAAGACCTCTGAAATGCCTTTGGGTTCTTCCATTCCCTTCATGATTCCTTCTTTCTGTACTTATCTCCTTAGCAGACGGTCACTGGGCTGCACCCTTGGTTTCTTCTCCTGAACACATTTTCCACTCTTTACATGGCCAGGCTAAGAGTTTTTCAATTTTTCATCCTCTTCTTCTCTTTTAATTATAAATTCCACCTGTACATCATGCCTTTGCTGCTGTAATTCAGTGCAGGCTGTTAGAAGTATCCACTCAGCTACCTGAATGCTCTGCTGCTTAGAAATTTCTTCTGCCAAATACCCTGTTCATCACTCTTAAGTTCTGCATTCCACAAAGCCCTCAGGCATGAAAAGAATGCCCCCAAGTTTTTGTAACTCTATAGCAAGGGTGATCTTTGCTCTGATTTCCAATAAGCTCCTCATTTCCACCTGAGATGTCCTCAGAATGGCCTTCATGGTTCATATTTATATCAGCATTGTGGTCACCACCACTTAACAGATCTCTAAGAAGTTTCAAAGTTCCTCTGGTCTTATCTTCTAAGCCCTCACCAGAATCTAGGCTTTCCCAAGCCTGCTTCTCCAAATTCTTCCAGCCTCTGCCCATCACCCAGTTCCAAAACCATTTCCACCACATTTTCAGATACTCATTATCAGCAACACCCCACTTCTTGGTACCAATTTTCTGTATTAATCTGTCTTCTATTGCTCATAACAGAATACTTGAAACTGGTTAATGTTTAAAGAAAAGAGATTTATTTCTCACAGATTTGGAGGTTGGGAAGTTCAGGGTCCAGGAAGCATCTGGTGAGAGCCTTCTTCTTGGTGAAGACTCTGTATGAAGTCCCATGGCAATGCAGGGTATCACATGATGAGGACAGCAAAAGTGTTCGTTAATATGCTTACCTGCTCTCCTTATAAAGCCACCAGTCCACACCCAAGATAATCCATTCATGGGGTAATGATTTAATGGGTTAATCCATTCATGAGAGCATAATCCTTATGATCCAATCAGCTCCTAGAGGCCCCAACCTTTCAAATACTGTAAAAGGATTTCCCATCCTCTTAACAGTTACAATGGAGATCAGGTTTCCAACACATGAACTTTCAGAGGACACATCGATCCCATAGCAAGAGTCTAGGACAACTCTTGGCACATAATAGGCACTACATTACTATTTATGGAGTGACTGGATTATAGAAGTAAAAATAAAATATCTTTGCAACATTCACAAAGATTGCAGATGTTAGCAATTTTCTGGGTGTGTATCCTTCAAGATATTTTCTATGCATATACAATCACATAAATGTAATTCTGAAATAAAACTGTAAGATCATACAAACATCTGTATCTTGCTTTTCCCCACTATATATTGTAGCCATCTTAGGCCTACATGTAACCATATATAAAGTTTGCACTAAATCTATTTTATGAATATTTTAGTTCGTTTTACTTTAACTGTGATTTTGGGTTATTTGTGAACTACACTCCTCTAATACTCCAATCAGTTGAGAGCTAATGTATCTAAAAGTGAATTAACAATACTATCTATTCAAATATATCAAATTCATCAAAACACTACCTTGGTGGTGGACTGCTCATCATTTCTGGTGTCTTGTGCATGGTTCCAATTCCCTGTTACTTGGGGAGACTGTAAAATAATTTCTTCTGGGAACAACACTTTAAAACAAGAAAAAGTAGGAGGGCAGGTATTACTGAAAAGGTTAAAAAATATGAACACAGTCAACCTAAATGTTTACAGCTGATCCTAAAGTAATTCACATTCTACTCCTTTCCTTTCTGGATTCCCTTTTATACTGCCAAATTATAACATTATACCCGTACTGCACATTATTTGCAACAAAGCCATTTACTTATCTATTTTTTTTTTTTGTCTTTTTTCGTGTCCGGCAATGGATCACAACCCTCAGTGTCGCGCCCATACCAGACCGGGACCGGCAACGGGATCGCAACCCTCAGCATTGCGCCCGCACCTCGCTCAGCCAGTGAGTGGAACCAGTCTGTATGTGGGATCCAAACCCTCGGCGGGAGCGCCGCCGCACTCCCAAGCGGCGCACTGTAGCAGTGCGCCACCGGGCCGGCCCTTACTTATCTATTTTTAAGTACAAAAATGAACTACACATGAGAAGAAAAGCAGAATATGATGAATTTTTAAAAATTATTTAAGTATGCTATTTTCATGTAGTTGAAACAGTAAGAAAACACTGAAACTCCCCAATAGAAAATGAAAAATATGCGAATTCACATAGTTTTACTTCTAATATATGACTGAAGAGATTGTGTATTACACAAAAGTTTACATGAAAGCTATAAAAATACTCTGGGAAGATGTAACACTATCATTCTACAAAAATAATACCTTTTACACCTAAGTGGATGACTTGTTCAAGGGCAAAGTGACACCGTCTACTGGTGGTCCTGCCAGAAAGAAAACATAAAACATCTAACCTTAATTCTAGAACTATTAAAGCTAGCACAGGTGGCAAAAATTTGATTATTAATCTCTAAGTCCATATATAAATGCAACTTTTATAAAATACTTTTAAATAAGGACTGAGGGGTCACTTTACCATATGTGTCTATACAAAACATTAGCAAGAAGAGTTTTATATAAAAAAATTTTAAATAGAAATATATATACTAGGTATTAGGACAGCAAGGACTTCTTTCTGGGAATATTTCTGTTCTAATGTATAAATGGAGAAGTAGAAAAAAAATGAAAATACAGCCTAACAAGTATAAGGGGAATTTTAATATCACTGTGTCAATAGAAAAGGAAATTTGATTGTAAGAGTTCATTCCCTTCAAATTCACTGAAAACGACAAAAAAAAAACAAAACACAGAAGACCGAAGTCCATCTTCAATGAAACAAGATGATCGAAGTTCCAAAGCACAAATAAAAGGACTCCAACAAGCAAAGGTATAAGAGCTGATTCACACCTTGGTACTTGGGCCAGATACAGATTTCTGGAAGACTCAGATTTGGCGGGCCTGCAGGGACACCAGAGTGCTCTCCACTGGACAATGAGGTGCACTGTGGATGCTCTGAGGTCACCACCAGAACCCACTTGCACCTTGTGGAATTCCAGGGGAGTCTGTGCACAGTCATCTGTGGGGTCTCTAAGAAAAGCTCACTTGCAGGGGTTCCAGGAACTGAAGCTGTGGGCAGCTCCATACTGTCCCCTCAATACAAACTTCCACAAGTAGTTGTCTGGGACACAATAAACAACCCAAAGAGGAATACAACCAGAAAAGAACCTCTCTAGGATCTAGCAAAACTGAGTTTAAGCAGGAAAATAAAACTGAGAATAGATCAATTCAAGAGGAAAAAACCAGAGGAAGCTGACCTACAGCCTGTCTTGCCCCTGCTCCCCAGGCTCTCTCACTTTCTAGGAATGGGTCATCTGATACTCTCCACCTTCTCAAAGGCAGAGAGACAGAAAGAAAGCTTTCAAAATCTTTTCAAAGCTACCATGACAAAGATGTCAGAAATGAGATAAAGACAGTACCAAGCAAACAAGAAAACTGTTAACCAACCTGAGGGTCACTATCTCACCTCCTAATAGCAATAAAAAAATATGAATACATTATTAGCCAATAAATTCCAAAAACACATTAAGGCAGAAATTAACTATATATATATATATATTAAAAAAATTATATATATAATATTTTAATTATATATATCATATATATTTTATAATATACATAAAAATTATTATATATTATATAAAAAATATATATAATATATACAATTTTTTATACTGGGAATACAAGAAAGGTTTGATAAAAAGTTATCCAGTTGAAAAATGTCATACAATAGGTTGAAGAAAAAAAATTCTCTTAAGAAATGCCGAAGAGGCAATGAATAAATATTCAATTTCCATATCTTAAAACAAAACTTGGGGCCGGCCCATGGCTCACTTGGGAGAGCGTGGTGCTGACAACACCAAGTCAAGGGTTAAGATCCCCTTACTGGTCATCTTTTTAAAAAAAACAAAAACAAAACTTGATGAATAATTCCTTAACATGATTAATCCAGAGAACATCAAGATACTAAATGGTAAAATATTACAGGTACTTCCACTTAAATAAGAAACAAGACAAAGACACAAAGAGTAGAAAACCATGAGAAAAATAAAACAGATGGTGGAATTAACAGGACAACAAACAAGAATTACAAAGATGATGAAGAAAAGAAAGAAAAGCAAAATCAAAGAAAACTTTCCTGAGTACAAACTACTGTTCAAGAGGAAAAACTAACACTACAAAGACGGCAATTTTTCCTATATTTTAACATCATTGTGCAAAGATATAAGAACATTTATTGTTTCACTGTAATAGCAAAAAGCTAAGAATCTAAATGTCCAGCAATAGGATTAGAAAAGAAAGGCCTCAAATCAATTATTCCAACTTCTACTATGAGAAACTAGAAAAAGAAAAGGAAACGGAACTCAAAGTAAGCAGGAAAAAGTAAATAATAAAGATCAGAGCAAAAAATCAATGAAACAGGGCCGACCCCGTGGTGCACTCGGGAGAGTGAGGCGCTGGGAGCGCAGCGACGCTCCCACCGCGGGTTCAGATCCTATATAGGAATGGCCGGTGCACTCACTGGCTGAGCACGGTGTGGGCGACACCACACCAAGGGTTGCGAACCCCTTTCCGGTCACGAAAAAGACAAAAAAAAAAAACAATGAAATAGAGCACAAAATAACACCAGAGAATATCAACGAAGGCGAAAATGGATTCTTTGATAAGGTCAATAAAACTGACAAACCTCTAGCCAGAAAGATAAGTCAAAAACGACCAATATCAGGAAAGAGAAACATGACATCTCTACAGATTACACAGATATTAAAAGGATAATAAGGAAATATTTTATGCAAATAAATTACACAACTTGGATGAAATGCACAGATTCCTTAAAAGACACACACTACCAAAGCTCACTCAAAAAGAAATCAATAACCTAAATGATCCTTTATTTACTAAAAAAGTGAAATATGTAGTTAAAAATCTTTCCACAAAGAAAACTCCAGACCCACAGGGCCTCAGGGGTGAATTCTACCAAACATTTAAGGAATAATGATACCCATTCTACAGAGACTCTCCCAGAAAATGGAAGAGGAGAGGAAACTTTCTAACTCATACCGAGGCCAGCATTAACTGGATACCAAAATGAGAATAAGACATTTCAAGAAAACTATAGGCCAATATAATCCCATGAATGTAGACACAAAAACTAACAAAATTTTAGTATATCAGATCTAACAATAGATAAAATGAAATTACTTCAGGACCAAGTGGGATTTATCCCATGAATGCAAAGTTGATTTTACATTAGAAAACCAATCAATGTACTGACTGTCTTAGCAGACTAAAAAAGAAAAAAACTACATGATCATTTCAATAGATGTAGAAAAACTGACAAAATCCCATATCCATTTTTGATTAAAAACTTGCAGTAAACTAGGAATCTATGTCTTCAACCCGAGAGAGGGCCACTAGAAAAACCTACATCACATTGTACTAAATGATTTAAGATTGAATGCTTTACCCCAAGAGCAGGAAGAAGGCAAGTATGTTACTTCTCACCACCTCTATTCAACGTTGTTCTAGAGGTTCTAGCCCGTGTAGTAAGCAAGTTAAAACACCCCCCCCAAAAAATGCATGCAGATAAGAAAGAAGTGAAACTGTCTATTTGAATACATAATTGCATATGTAGAAAATATTACGTAATCTGTAAAAAGCTAGAATTATTAAGTGAGTTTATTAGCAAGCTTGTAGGATCCAAGATAAACATTCAAAAATCAATTGTTAACACCAAGGTCAAGGGTTCAGATCCCCGTACCAGCCAGCTGCCAAAAAACAGAAAAAAATGGCTTTCATAAATATTAGAAAGCAAGCAATTGTAAATTTAAGTTAAAATTACTGTTACAATAGCATTAAATTATGACATTATGCCAGTACTGCATATTATTTGCAACCACCATTTATTTATCTATTTGTAAGTATAAAAATGAATTACACATGAGGGGAAAAGCAGAATACAATGAATTTTTTTTTTCCTTTTTGTCTTTTTTTCGTGACCGGCAACGGATTGCAACCCTCAGTGTTGCGCCCGTACCGGACCGGGACCGGCAACGGGATCGCAACCCTCGGTGTTGCGCCTGC